ATAACAAATGAGAAAATTTGTTTGAAATTTTACGTAATTTTATAAATAAATAATAATTTATTAATTATTATTTACACCAATTTATACTATTAATAAAAGTAAAATCCTCAGCTTCAACATTCCCGCCCAAATTAATATGAATATTAATTAATTGGTAAAAAAATCAATAAAGCTTAATTGGTAACAAAATTTTATATGAAAATTAACTAATATCTAATGAATTTTTTATAACAAATTAAAGTTAATATGTAATTAAAAATGGAAAATGGTTATCAAATTTTGAGAATAATTAAACCATTATAATTGTGAGAATAACATAAACAAATTCTGCGTAATAAATGAGAAAATCCATTTGAAATTCTATATAATTTTATAAGGAAATAATAATTTATTAATTATTATTTACACCAATCTATATCTATACTATTAATAAAATTAAAACCTTCAATTAAAATGTCTTTCACCCTTCTGATACGAGATTGCCTTTCAAGTTCTAACAAAAACAATTCACGTTGATGTTCGCATATGCCATGACTATCAACAAAAGTCAGGGTCAAACACTAATTCACGTTGAGTTACTACTGAAAAAACCAGTCTTTAATCATGGTTAATTGTATGTGACTTTTTCCCGAGTCACCCATCATGAATTCATGATGGTCTGATTGTTTTAACTCTAAACGATGATGGATAAAATTCCGTCACTACTACCAATGTCGTCTACAAAGAGATTTTCAATAATGTATAATTCAAGTCATTGATACTATGTTTTTTTTATATACAAAGATGACAAAATTGTTATATATCTACATAGAAAATATATCTTCTGTATAAATAATTTCTATAACTGAGTTGCTAGACAACGAGCTAATTAGTCCGATTAATACAAATTCTAAACACTATATAAAATCTCTAGAGTTGCAACAACGAATGCGTATATCTAAACGTTAGCTATTAATTGGGCAATTATTTACTCGAATTCAAGCATTGATAACATCAGAAAACATAATCGATGCAACTCAATTCTTCAATTATATTATATAATATTCGATGTTATAATTTATACAATTGTATATCGATCTAAATATTTTTCAAATATTATAACAAATTTATTTCGTGCAACGCACGAGCGCAAATACTAGTTGTTACTAAAAAATAAACTTTTATTGTCGTAACATGGATGAGAATAAAATTATTGTTGTATAATAAATATGACATGGTAGTGATGATATGATATAGGTAGTTGACATAATAATTTGAACACTAATTTATTTTTGTAAATAAGAAGTTAAAATGCCCTATTTTGCAAAAATAAAATAAAATAAAGAGTTAATACCATATGAGGTCATCTGAATATAGTGGATTAGTCATGTTTAGTTTAGTCCTAAACTTTTAAATTGATCATCCATGTTCCTTCGACTTTCAAATTGTTATCATCCGTGATCTAATTAGTTTACTACCCATGATCCTTTAACTTTTAAAATTTAACCATCCGGAGTCATTCTGGAAGGACCATGGATGGTTAAAATTTGATAGTTAAAAAATTATGAGTGATTAACTTAGACCATGAATAATAACAATTTGAAAGTAAAAAAACTACGTACGGATGATCAATTGATAATTTAAGACTAAACGTAACTAAACCACTAATATTAAGGATTAACTCTAAAGTAAAATACTACTCCTTCCGTCCCAAATTATGTGTCTTACTTTGCATTTACACGGATTTTTAGGAAGCAATGAAAAGAATACTAATTTTCCTATTTTACCCCAACATGCCATGTGATGATTTGACCCTTCTATCACTTTATACTCAAATTACTTGTACTACATAGTACAAAGTACAATAAATTAACTCAAAAGTATGAAATGCACATAAGGGCAAAATTGAAAAAATAGAATGATAGTAGTGTTTAATTTAGGAAAGTGGACAACATTTTGGGACAAACTAAAAAGGAAAGTAAGACAGGTAAAATGGGACGGAGGGAGTAATATAAAAGTAGGATGTTTAGTGTACATGTGCAGGTCAAGAGTCTTTCTAGTGGAGGTCAAAAAGTTTCAAAGCATTAATTCATGTCGAGCCTATAGTTTATTCTTTATGCGCATTATCTATACATTTTTCAAATATTTAATGATAGAAATTAATTGCCACTTTGGCACTTTCATCTCAATTGAGTCTAACATGATGTGGAATATATTAGAAATGGAATGTCATTTCATTTGTCCTGTCCTAAATTTAATTCATGTTGAGTTGTCTATGCAAATAGAATGTCATTTCATGAAATATATTTATGTTGTTATTTGGTTTAATTTTTGCAATAAGGAATAGAATTTTAAGAAATAAAATATTTTCTTTGTAATGGAAATAGTCATTCTCAATATCTTGAGTTGTTTTTAGCTTATTAGGAATATTTATTGCTTTATTATTTCAAAAGTACACTTATAAATTCTTTATATAAACACATATATTTCCAAATCTCCTTCAAGCTCTTACAATTAATCAGTTTGGCTGGCTTCCCATCATCACTAAGGTATGATAATATGTTTCTATTTGTTTTTCTTTTCAATTTCATACGTGCATGTATATATGTAGTTTCTATATTTTTCTTCTATTTTTCAGTTTCATATATTCGTATACATGAATCCATTGATGAAAATTTTAGCTAAAATGATATTTTTAGATAGCTATTTTTGTGGTACAAATATATATGTGTCCACTTTTGATTTGGGTTGGTCAAAGTTGATTCAAATTCTTCGTAGTGAGAAAAAAAAATTGATATATTATACGCTCAAAATGGATAATGGATAGGTGAGAAATTTATTCTCAAAGTAACTCATTTGAGTTGAAAAATAGATATGGAAAGACTTGGAAATAACATTTGTCCCACATTGAAAAGGAATACGTTTTTGCACTAGTATATAATTGAATAGCATAAATGTTATCTCTCGTGCATTTTTTAAAAATAACAATACCCAATAATCGTATGATCAAAAGTGAAATTTTCTCTAAACATTAAAAAAAAAAAATACACATTTTTTTGTTAATGATTTATAAGAAGAAACAAGCCAAACCATTTGATTTATAATAGATTAATAGTTAATAATAATGTCTTTTGAAGAAGAAATCGAAGCATTCTTCTAATCTAAGAAACTGAGGATCACTCAAGAAAAAGTTTCTCACTTTGACCATTATTCTTTGAGTAAAATGATAATTAAGGGAGAAGCTAAAAAATAACTTTAAGAACATTTGGCCTTACTGTGAAGAAATCCAAAAAAACAAATCCCACATCAACCAGCCTAGTTAAGTTATCAGACCATGAATATGAAGGAGTTAAGAAAATGTTAATGAGGTTTTGTTTGTTGGGAGGCTTGTAGCCAAGGATTCAAGCGTTGTAGGTCCATAATTGGAGTTGATGGTTGTCATCTCAAGAAAAAATATGGAGGGATGATTTTGATTGCTTTTTTTTTTTTTTGGTTGACGAGGAAAACAATAGTTATGCTATGGAATCATGTTCACCATGCGCATAGTGAACACGAGATAGATCCATAATTTTTAAATTGTAGATTCATAACATCTATATTGTAGATTCATAATTTTTATACCGTACTGTAGATTCATAATTTCTATATTGTAGATTCTTAATTTCTGTACTGCGAAGACGAAAAAGAAAAACGTCGTTAACAACAAATGAAAAACAAAATTATGAATCTACAACATAGAAATTATGGATCTATCCCTGTGTTCACCATGCGCATGGTGAACACGTTTCCACTTTCCACGGCATAATTTGCGCGAGGAAAACCCTACAACCCTTTTTGAGTATGAATAAAAAGATCACAAAGAAGTAAACCAACTTAGATTACCCATAACTGACGACTCAAACCAAGGGGGCAAATATTGAAGAAATTTGGCCTTTTATGTCAAACAAGCAAAAAGATCTAATACTAGCTTTTCAAGAAACTTTACTTGCTATAAGTAATAGATTGTGTTATGCACTTACATGGCAATACAAAAGTAGCAGGTTTTATTGGACAGCCTATAAAAAAAATGCATTTTGGAAAGCTGCTATAGCAACAACAATTAATACTTTCATAGCAACAATGAGGGTATAAGAGAATTGGAAGCACATCTTTCTGAGTAGTCAAGGTCACATTTTAACACCAATCCTCATCCTAAAATAAACATCTTTCTGAGTGGTCAAGGTCACATTTTAACACCAATGCTCATTCTAATATGCTCGGAGATTTTAAGGAAACAGGTAATGATTAGGTTGTATGAGTGTAGGATGAAGGGGGCTAAGTGGTCTGGATCAATTTGTCCTAATATTGTGCTAAAGATCAAGATAGAGTTCATGTTTCAAGGAAGTTTGTGAAATTTCACTACACAATTTGCAAGAAACTAGGTTATATAATAGCAGAACATGTTCTCTGAATCCCACTGTGAGAGAAAAAACAAAAACAAAAACAAAAACCAAGCTTTTGTTTTAGGCCAGTTTGGTAATATAGTTAACTTTTCAGCCAACTTGGTTAAACAATCAATACGAGTGTTTGATTAATTAGCTTTTTGTAACAGCTTATAGCTCCAAAATACTAAAATTCAAAAAGTGCTTCTTCGATAAGCTTTTTAAGAAAATCATTTTGCATGTAATCAGCTATCAGCTATCAGCTAACAGCTAATTTATCAAACATTTTACTACAACCAACTAATGCTATCAACTAGTAAACCCACTATCCCAATAAGTTAACAACTATTTACCCGACACCCCCTTAGTGTCATATATTATTATTGATAGATGGTATATCTACCAAACTAAAATTTGGAACTTTATCACAGAAAAGAAAAAGAATGGAATAGCCCAATGATAAAAGGTATTATTCCCTTCATGTAAGTCAATTCCCAGATCAGCTAAACAGTGTTTCCTTATGAAACAACTCAAACTCAATCCCTATCAAAGAAAAGCATACCACTTAACCTTGAGTTAAGATTCAAGCATTGGGCAATCTGAAACAAACATTGAAGCAAATAAGCACAACTCCATAAAAAAAGCTTCATGAGTTGTATAGTCTTCACACAACATATGTTTAGAACAACAAATTCCCAGGCCCTACAAATTATTCAACCATATTCTACATAATATAGCATGTAAACAACAATAGAAGATGAGCAAAACTTACTATCCTGCCAGAGAATATATATAACCAAAACGAAAAAATTACCTACTTCTTGGAATCTTTGCTCAACAAGTATTTCTTAAGAACATCCATGACAGAACCAAAATCCGCTTTCACCTGCACAGGCGGGTTTGCAAAGCGGCAAGCCATGTCCTTTATGTCCTGCGAATGATAATCAATCTTGGACTGAGTAAACTTGAGCCCATGAGCTGTGCTAACCACAACAGTCCTATCCGTTGCTCCGATCACCCCTTTGTTCCTTAACTTGATTAGAGCAGTCAATGCCACCCCGGTGTGAGGGCATATGAACATCCCGGTTGAGTCTGCCTGGGCCGTGGCATCCATCAATTCTTCCTCGGTGGCCTCCTCGACAATGCCATTTGAGTTCTTGAGAGCAAAAACAGCTCTATCTATAGATACAGGGTCACCAATCTGAATGGCGGATGCAAAAGTGGAACTTGCTTTGACGGGCTTGAAGTCTTTCCACCCGGATTTGTAATGCAAGTAAAGAGGATTAGCATTGGCGGCTTGAGCACAAACCAGCCTGGGAATCCTGTCAACAAGCCCTAATTCTTTGCACATGTGAAACCCTTTGTAGAATGCGTAAATATTCCCTAAGTTTCCACCTGGAACTATCACCCAATCTGGGACTTGCCAATCGAATTGCTGCAAAATCTCAATGGCCGCCGTTTTCTGGCCCTCGAGTCTCAAACTGTTGAGGGAATTGGCTAAGTAAATGGGCAATTCCGATGTGACTTCGCGAATCATCTGCATACACCCGTCGAAATCTGTGTCGATGCTTAACACGAATGCGCCATTCGCGATAGGCTGGACTAATTGGGCAAGGGATATCCGATTTGCGGGGAGGAAGACGATGGACGGGATCCCAGCGGAGGCGCAATAGGCCGATAGCGCCGCCGAGGTGTCGCCGGTGGAAGCGCAGCCCACGCCGACCACCGGTTTCTTCATTTTCCGCAGCCGGTTCACCTGGCTCACCAAAACCGTCATGCCCAGATCTTTAAAGCTCCCGGTGTGGCTAATCCCGCAGTGTTTCACCCACAGGTCATTCATCCCCAGAAACTGTTTCCCGTAACGCTCAGCCCAGAAGAGATTAGAGTTCCCCTCGAAAGCGCTGACTATATCGTCGCCATCGATCCCGGGGAGGACCCACTCCTTCTTAGACCAGACGCCGGAGCCGTACGGCCACGTGGTCTTCCCGACGCGGGAGTCGAAGAGGGAGCGCCAGTACTGGCCGTCGAACTTCTTCAAAGCATCCATATCGTGCTGGACATCGAGCAGCCCGCCGGAGCGGCTGCGGTACACGATCTCGTCCAGGGAATACCACTCGGTGGAGTCCGGGTCGGCATTGAAGGGGACGTAGCGGGCGGAGAAGTTGTGGGAGGACGAGATCCGGCTCGCCTCTTCGCGGATGTTCAGGTCCGCCGGACGCCGGTGCTTTTGGGGCTGCTCGGAAGTGGCGGTGGCTTTGATGGGAGTGATGAAATGTGGGGCGGCGGAGGGGTGAGATTTAGGTTTGTGTTGAGGAGAGGGAGAGAGGAATGAGGATCTGAAGAAGGAAGAAGCGGCCGCCATTGATGAGAGATGATAGGAGAAGAGTTGTGTTGGCACTTGGCGGCTCTGAAAGAGAACTTCAAGCGAGGTTTAATATGCCGATGGTGAGCACGCGTGACCCATCACGTGATTTTTAACTCAGTATCATCCTGTCTCTGTAAGAGTGACCACGTGATTAACTTGTTTAGTCTAGGTTAATGAGAGAAAAAATTTTAATTTTGTTCATAAGATTATAGGAGTGTTGTTAATTTTAAAAAGTGTCAATTTAGTATTTTGAGTATGTAAATTTTGTTAATTTTAGTCACTTCGATTAAATTGTCGGTTAAATTTGATCAGAAAATTTTAATTGGTTAAATAATGAGGGTATTTTAGTCATTTTACTCCCCTTCTTTCTTCTTCGACGAGTCCTTCACTTTTTTCATTTCCGGCGATCACCTTTTTTCCATTTCGTGACTTCGACAGCATCGCCGATAGGTGAGGAACGGTCGAGGAAAACGCCGTTGACGGTAGAAGATTTGTGCTTGAGGGCATGAAGGACGAGTTTGATGTAGGCATTTGGGTGGATCTCGTAGCACGTATCGCAACCCATCACTCACTAAGTCGAAGTGCGTTTAGTGATGGAGAGCCGGCAAACAGAGAGCCCGGAAATGGAGAAAAGGCGATCGCCAGAAATGGAGAAAAGGGAAGGACTCGTCGGAGAAGAAAGAAGGAGAGTAAAAAGACTAAAATATCTTCATTATTTGACCAATTAAAATTTTTCGGTCAAATTTGGTCGACAATTTGACCGGAGTGACCAAAATTGACAAAAATTGCATACTCAAGGTACTAAATTGACACTTTTAAAAGTCATTGCTGAAATTAACAAAGTCCTTATAGTCATATGACCAAAATTAAAATTTTATCGTTAAAGAGATAAATATATATCTTACTTTATACATAATACATTATGCGATTCAATAGATGTGCACTAAAAAAAATGGTGAAAGTATAAACAGAAAAAAAAGGTAATTAATACATTATTGATAAAAGAAGAAATATGTGAGATAACTTGATTAAATTGATTAATTTGTTGAATTGATAATCACAATATTAACTTGATTAAATTGATTAATTTGTTGAATTGATAATCACAATATTATAAGTTTGACTCCTAACTTGTGGTATGTTGATTTTCGAATACTAGAACATATTGCACTAGACGCTTCCATAAAACCTTGTACAAGTGAGCATACTTGTTATATACTAGCAGTCAAGTTCCCCGAATAGCGTTATGCTATGAACCAAGAATTCAATGCCCTAATCGGCTATATATGTTGATAAATTCTTCCGTAATCATGTGTGTAAGTTGTAGTATTCTTTATATGGCAAAAAACAAGCACCTCGGGTTTGGTTGAAACATTTGCAATATCATCTCCTTGCTATTGGTTTTCGAGCATCCAAGATGGATGTCTCTTTGCTCATATATTCAACTAATGGTGACTTCATATATGTGCTTGTGTATGCTAACGATATTTTAATTATTGTCAATAATTGTGTGCTCTTAAATTCTGTCATCTCCAAGCTTGTAGACATCTTCAAGATTCAAAATCTTGGAAACCTGAATATTTTTTGGGCATTGAGGTCTTACACGACCATGGAGACTTGATTATATCCAGAAAAATTCATGGAGGAAATTATGCACCGTGCAGGTATGCGTAATCTATGATTGTAAACCTACATAAACACCTATTATAACTTTAGCATTTGTTTTAGCTCTTGGTACCTTGTTTGATGATCCTACAGATGTAGTTATGGGGAGCACATGTTGTTTGTCGTTCTCTAGGGATTGGGGGATATGGAGCTCACTATGTGACAACAAGGAACTAAACACTAACATTAAGAAGTATACAATAAGCTAAACAATCACCAACAAGTCAAAAACACCAATAACTAAACGAGATAGAATAAACAAATCAAGGAATTGATAGGATGCAAAACACAACTTAAGGATTCAGAGAAATCAACCAATCAATGAATTGAGAGGATGCACATAGAAATTCTAGCATAATAGTCAGTCTCGTGGTCAATTAAACAAGAATCAGAACTAGGAATTGACCCACTCTTGTGATGCATCAATCCCAATGTTCTAAATGAGGACAATAAAGGTTGTGTTGCACAAATGATAAATGTGTATGTTTATGAATATTTGACAAAATATATGTAGTGTCAAAATTCAACTCACATGAGCTCAAGAAGAGTCACAAGATTATTGTACAAAATATTTACTCTAGTGAAAATCCAACTGATTTGTTCACAAAGTCTCTTGCTACACTTATTTTTGAAAAGTTGTCTTTATGTGTATGATTTGAATATTGTTGTCTTCATGGGAAGTGTCATTCACTTGAATCAATCTTGAAGATTGGACTTAAATCAATCTTGAAGATTGAGTCATGATGACCAACAACTGTACTGTTTTTCTTTTGATTGAGTTTTGATGTTATTTTTTTTAATTAAATGATTTTTTTAATGACGCAGCTAGTGCAACACATGGATGCATACATATCATGTACTCTTTTCTCCAACTAGGTTTTCTAACTTTTTTTTCATTGGTTTTTTAGTGATGTTTTTAACGATGCATATGAGTATGATATGATATAGTAATGTCCAAGGGGGGTGTTGTAAATAACTATATGTGGAGATTACTATATGTATTATATTATGATAATACATCTTCATCCTTTGTAATATTGTAGTTATACTAGAACTATGTATTATATTATGATAATATTGTAGGATGGTGTGCTCTGAAACTTGATATGGCCAAGGCCTATGACAAGATGGAGTGGGGATTCCTTAGGCAGATTATGCTTCGTATGGGCTTCGACGGTCGTTGGGTTGATATTATGATGAAATGTGTCACAACAATTCGTTACAAAGTAGGCTTAAATGGTCTTCTAACACAGCTCATTGTGCCTTCCCGGGGTCTTCGTCAGGGCGATCCATTATCGCCTTATCTTTTCATACTTTGTGCAGAGGGCTTGGGTTTTTTACTCTCTAAGGCAGTGCAGAATAAGAGTATTTCCCCTTGTGAGGTGGCTCGTGGTGCTCCAGGTATCTCTCATCTTTTCTTTGCCGACGATAGTTTGTTATTTTTCAAGGCATTATCATCCGAAGCTGCTGTTGTGAAACAATGTTTAAGCACATATGAAGCATTGTCTGGGCAGTCAGTGAATTATGATAAATCATGTCTTTTGTTCAGCCCTAATGCAACAACTGTTATGAAGGATGCTGTTACTACTGTACTGAATGTTGCTACGGTGAATAATCTGGGGAAATACCTGGGTTTACCAATGGGGATAGGGCGTAACAGAAAGGAGGTTTTCTCATATTTGGAGACTAAACTCAGACATCGCCTAGCGGGCTGGCATAAGAAAATACTATCACGTGCCGGGAAGGAAATATTGATCAAGAGTGTTGCACAAGCCTTACCTATGTACACAATGAGTATATACTATCTGCCTACTACTTTCTGTGAACATATTGAACGCATCATGAATCAGTTTTGGTGGTGTTCGCAAGGTGGGGAAGGCGGGGGAATACGCTGGATGGCATGGCAGCGCATGTGTACCCCGAAAGCTACTGGAGGCCTTGGTTTTAAACAGCTTAATAGATTTAATCTTGCACTTCTTGCAAAGCAGGGTTGGTGTCTTCTCACAAGCCCCTCATCACTAGTAGCTCGGGTTTTCAAATCTCGGTATTATGCTAATGGTGAGTTCATGGACGCTAAGATTGGAGCAAACCCTAGCTATGTTTGGCATTCAATCTTGGCAGGGAAAGACATACTCTCTACGGGCTGTATAAAGCGTATTGGTAATGGAGAGAGTACGCGGGTGTGGAAGCATCCATGGCTACCAGATGCGGCTAATCCTTACATTCAGACACCATGCTTGAGCCAAGATCCATGCATGAGAGTAAGTGAGTTGATAAATCCGGTGACGAAGGATTGGGATGAACTGAAGCTGGAACATAACTTTGATGCTCGGGATGTAGCTTTGATACGCAGAATTCCGGTGGCATCAACTTTTAATGATAGTTGGTGTTGGCGTGATGATGTTAGAGGACAGTATACTGTAAAACAGGGCTATAAATTGATGGCAACGCTCAATAATAATGGACAAATAATCAACTACGCATGGAAGGAACTATGGAGGCTCAAAATTCCTCCGAATGTTTGTAACTTTGCTTGGAGGTGTTTGCATGGCATCCTCCCAACAATGGCAGTGCTATGGTCGAGAAGGATGGATGTAGATGTGAACTGCCATCTGTGTAAGCAACATCCAGAGACTTTGAGGCATTTATTCCTTGATTGTGTCCATGTGCAGCCTATATGGTTACCTGCAGATCGCAGCCTGGTTGAAGATGAAGAAGACTTTGCAGTTTGTGTGAGCAAGTGGTTGGCGACAACAGATGTGCAGATGGCTAAGCGATGCTTTGCAGTATGTTGGGTGGTGTGGAAACGTCGTAATGGGGTAGTATGGAACAATGAAGTGTGGCATCTGATGGCTATTAAGAATGAAATAACCAGGCTAATTGGAGATTGGGAGGAGATTCTGGCACCGCATGCATATGGTCATCCTATGGTTCCAGTCTCGATGGAGGAAAACGTACTACCAGGTGCGAAATTTTTTTATACTGATGCGGCAGTCTATGCTAAGTTGGGTGAGGCATACTTTGGTGTCTATATGACTAACGGTAATGGTGAGTACGTGGCAGCAAAAAATGGCCCTGTTAGATGTTTGAATGATGTCCTCCTTGCAGAAGCCATGGCGGTTAAGGAAGCGTTATCTTGGGCCAAGGAAAGAGGAGAGAACAATGTGATTATATTTTCAGATTGTCAGACGGTAACCAGGTGGTTTGATGGAGTGGCACGTGATAATTCATATGCGGGTTGTATCCTAGAGGAGTGCCGAATTCTAAAACGACACTTTGAATCAGTGTCTATTCGTTTTATTCCGAGATCAGCGAATAAGTATGCTCATACCCTTGCTAGAGCTACTCGTTCACAGTCTGGTCCTCTATGTTGGCTGTCAGTGATTCCTTCTTGTATTGAGCATTTATT